GGGGATGGATCAAGCAGGGAAGTTGTGCCTCACAAGGAATGATTTCTCTCCCCTCCAGATCCGTGGCAAAGGCCTGGACTGGCCTCTGATCATGAAGGACTTCAACCTGCTGCGCTGGCTGGGGGCCAACTCGTTCCGCACCAGCCACTACCCCTACGCTGAGGAGATCATGGACCTGTGCGACGCCTACGGCATCGTGGTCATCGACGAGAGCCCGGGGGTGGGCATCAAACTGCCGTAAGAGCTGCCCAGCACACCCTGCCCCTGGCTCCTCTGCTCCTCTCTGAGCTCTTTCCAAGTGTCCCATTACCCTTTTGACACTTTTGTCCTCACTGTCCCACCCGTTGTCCCGGTAACGAGAATACTTTGCTCTGTTTGGAAATCTCCTGTTGCGCCACCATTTCCTGGTGATGTTGGGCAATCAGAGGGCTTTTTGCCACATTTTGCCACATGGCTCAGTCAACCAGCCCAAACCACAGCCCTGAACTGTGCAGCAAACTTTGGGGAAATAGGGCAGAACTCAGCATCAAGGCTCTGCTGTGCTCATAGAGGCTGAGTTTCCCGAGGGAAAGGCAGAGGGGATGGATTTGACACCCTCACCAGGTCTCACCTCCTTCTGTCTTCCAGGGAGAGCTTTGGCAACAAGTCCCTGCAGCATCACCTGGCTGTGATGGAGGAGTTGATCCGCAGGGATAAGAACAGGCCCTCGGTGGTGATGTGGTCAGTGGCCAACGAGCCGGCGTCCGAGCTGCCCCCAGCAGCTCACTACTTCAAGTAAGCGAATCTGCTCATTATCTCTCAGCAGTTGGTGCCTCTTCTTCCTTTGGGATGGCACAGAGGAGTAGTAAAAGGAGGGGCAGGCATTTTTTGGGAACCCTGGAAGTGCACCTGCAGATGCAAACTGAAATGTAACTGCTGCATGTGTCGAACTGATGCTCACAACTGCCCAACTGTCTCCAACCTGTTGGTTTTGAACCACTAAGGCTGCACAAAATTACCAGGAATCCGTTTGGTTTGAGCATCTCTTCTTGAACAAAGTCAAATCAGAGCTGGTGGGAACAGGTTATTCCTTGTTACCACTGGCAGATGAGTGTTAAATTCCTTGAGAATTACAGCAAAGCTGTAGAATAATTGGTCTTTAATTCTGAAGATGTGGTTCTGCAGTCAGTGCTGGTTTTTTGTTCTGTGGGACATTGTGACTCATTGGGAAGTGGCTCTTCAAAGCCACTGCTTGGAGTCCCTGCAGACCCCTTGGTTTTATTTTGAAGGGGATTTAAGCTTTGGATAGCCCAGAGGCAGCTGAATAAAGGGGCAGCACACTGAACCTGGTAGCTGGAGGGTTGACTTCTCCCAATGTTCCAAAAGTTTGACTTTTCCAAATGTTCCACCGCCTCCTGCGTTGTCAAGGCAGCAGCAGAGCTTGACTCTCCCCTTCTGTCCCATCTCCCTCACTCTGTTCCTCAAAATCATCCAGCCTCTGCCTGCTGTGGCCCAGGGCCTCAGGAACACACCCCATGAGTTGTTCAGAAACTTCCCATTATCCTTTTTTCACAGTTTTGTCCTCAAACTCAACTGTCCCTTCAACTTCTAAGCTGCTGGCACCACCAAATGTGCCTGTGCTTGGGTGAGCTCCCACTCTGCTGTTTTTCAGGTGGCATAGCAGATATTCTCTTTATTTAATTAAAAATCCTGTCTGCTGAATCCAAAGCAGCTCAGCCTGGGGGGTGGAAGGCCAGAGAGCCTGGGGAGAGGGAGCTGTGCTTCTTGGTGCTGGTGTTGAACTCTTGCTTTACTGTTTGCAAACAGGACAGTGATAGCTCACACTAAAGCTCTTGACCCCTCCAGACCCGTCACCTTTGTGACAGATGCTAATTACGCTCTTGATCACGGTGTAAGTTCGCTTTATTTTCTAGCTTTTTCTTTTTTTTTTAGAATTCATACATTAAATTTCCTCCTCTTGTCACTTTACAGCCCTTTCCCCCTAAATTCACTGGGGKTATTTAACAAGGGGAAGGCAGAAGAAAAGTTATGATTTTGCTTCTACTAAAAAGTATCTTTTCCTGCAGTTGTAGTCCAGCTGAAAAAAAAAGAAGTATCTGTAAGGGAGAACAATTCTTTGTGTGCAGGATTATTCCCCTGGATTCCATTAATATTGTCATGCTTTGCTGTGCCATCGACTGTGTTTACTAATGCTCAGGATTTTCACTTGCAATTAAGCTGAAGCTTAAACCTCTTTAAAATGCTCACAACCCTTGTGGAAGTCTAAAGGAAGGAAGCTTTGCTTTAATTCCTGCTTTGAACTGCTCTAGATCTTCTTTGGCAGATGTCTGTTTGTGTTGAATAATCTAAAAGCTCCTCCAGCTCCGTAATGAAAACCCTAGAGCTGTATAAATAACAAAGAAAAAAACAAAAAAAAACCCCAAAAGACACTTTTCCTTGGATTTCTGGGTCTTTCCAAGGACTTTTAACACCTGTATTTGTTTCCAGGGTAGTTCCTTGGCACAGTAATCACTCCTAGCAGGTGAGTTGGTGCTGCCACATTCCTGCTCCAGGTTATACTTTGGATTTCTTCTTAACTGTTGTAGAATTAGCAGGAGTGGCTGCAACTCTGAGGTTTTTCCTCCCCACCCCAGGAAAAAATTTCCCTGATGGCCTTAAATTTGAAAGAGCCCAGCAGGAATCTGCTTTTGGATCTCCCGTTCCCACTCTGCCCAAACCAACACAAAGAACAGATCTCTCATACACTGATGTGATATTAGAACTTTTTTTTTCTTTTTATTACAAAACATGTTAAGAGAACATTGAACAAGTTACATACAACATCACTTTATCTTGAGGGGGCTTTGTGCCCTTTTATCACACTGTCCATGTGGTAGAAATGGCAAATAACTTGCAGAATGCTTTTAGTCTTAGTATTGCACCATTGATGCACAAAATTTAGTTGCTAGTCAAAATATTTGACCACTCACTTGATAATCACATTCCAATACTCAAAAAAAAAAAAAAAGTACATCTAAATGTACCAGCAAGCCAGAGACATCTTGGAAACAAAAGAAAACAACCTTCTAACAAACCTGAGAATGAAACGTGTTGATCTTGTCTAACTCTTTGCTATGACTTCCTAAGTCTGGAAGAAAAATGCCAAATTAGTGCTGTTAACTTATTAAATTTATCCTGCCTTTTTTTTTTTCTGGGAAAGATATGATGTTTGGAGGGCCTGAGTGATGGGGAAAACACTTCATTCTATGTGTAATAAACCTGGATTCTATTAAATGAACCCAAAGGGGGAGTTGGGTTTACAAGAGAAGGTGATGAAACAGTGTCACCTTGTTTTTTACAGGCTCCCTACGTGGATGTGATTTGTGTGAACAGCTATTTCTCCTGGTATCATGACCCAGGCCATCTGGAAGTGATTCCACTCCAGCTCACRGCCCAGTTTGAGAACTGGTATAAAACCTACCAAAAGCCCATCATCCAGAGTGAATATGGAGCAGACTCTGTGCCTGGACTTCACAGTGTAAGTGTTGTGGTGTTTCCCAAATGGGAAAAGCTCTTAGAGGACAGAGAATTGAACTGGGAGAGGTGGGCACCACTGAGCCTGAGTGAGATGCTTTAGCTGGGAGTGTCCAAAAGGCTCCAGGATTGTGATCCTGCTTCATCAAAAATTTACCAATTTACCACTGATTTACCAAAATCAGTGAGCTCTGTCTGCCCAAAGGGGACTCCAAAATCTGTCCTTTGGCAGTGGCAGGAAATGCTGAAATGAAAGCAAACCCTGGAGAGTGGTTGTTCACTGTGCTGTCCCATGCAGGAGGGGGTGGCACTCCCATCTCTGTCATGCCAAAGGCCACCAGAGGAATTCCCCGTGGGAATATCTGGAATTTTGTGTTTGCTAATTGTCACAACAGCCACTGTAATTTTGGTTTTAGCCTGAACCTTTTGACCACCGTTAATGCAGCAGCAATTAGAACAAGCAACCACTGAGTTTTTTCTTCAGGAATAGCTGCTCAGTAAATGGGAATGCCTTTGTCACCTCATTGTCACCTCATCCTGTTCTCCCTGGCTGTAGGATCCCCCGATGATGTTCACTGAGGAGTACCAGACTGCCATGCTCAGGGAGTACCACTCTGTCTTTGACAAGAAGAGGAAGGAGTACGTGATCGGGGAGCTCATATGGAATTTTGCTGATTTCATGACCAGTCAAGGTAAGCTGCTGTTTGAGTTCTGAACAACTCCCCATCCTTCCCATGAGTTGAAGGTGGTTTRTGCCACACAAATATTGTGCTAAAGAGTAGGACAAAAGGCCCTGGGTTGKTTTTTTTTTGTCCCAAAATCCAGCATGATCAGAGCCAAGAGGGAAGACCCCGCCTGTATYTAATCCATCCTTTCTCCTGCCTGTCCCACCTTCAGAGATGCTCCCAGGAGCAGGAGATAACACACAAAGGAAGCTTGTGAGAGACCCAGATTGCCCCTGGGGTTTGGCCACACCCTCAATTAAAGCTGCAGTCAGCTGTTAAGGGCATGTCWCTTGCTTCCCATGTCACCTACAACTGCCCTTGGTGACAGAGCACCTTCAGTAATCATTATGAACTCGGTAGAGGTTCAGTAGAGGAGCAGATGGACAGTGGCTGACAGCTGTCTTATCATGACACTCCACCCATTATTAATAGAGAAGTGCAGTCACAAAGTAAGGGAAATGCCTTCATTTACAGTGCAGTCACAAAAAATGAAACAATCCCAACTCAGATCTGGTAATGAACCTGTCCTGTTTATGCCACCTGCAGTGGGCTGGGCTGGTGAGCAGTGTGAGGGACAAACATCCAAAATCCTCTGCAGAGCACCAGGACAGGCAGGAGAAAGCTCAGTGATGGCAGTGGTCAGAAAAGCAGCATCAGCTTCAAACAGRAGGGCTGAGAAAATGTAGACAAGGTCACACACACAGCTGCACTTCCAGTCTCTGTGTGGCAATCCTTTTTGTACTTTCCTACGGAAACGAGAACAGGCAGAAAGGATCCAGACACCACAAAGGGCAGYAAATAATCACCATTTCCTCCATCCAGTTTGAAGGTGGAGCCAATCTATTGCAGATATAATACTGATCAATGGGCACACCCCAGTGAAGTGCATCAGCAGCTGTAAAAACAGGGAATTGCAGCTGGATTGCTGTGTCACATGCAGGAATCCTGCCCAGTTCCCTGTTGGACCTGACTGTGCAGAACAAAGTGCAGAGGTCTCTTCCACCTGACCTGATTTAGTACCTACACTGTGACAGCTCACAGYAGAACCTTGTTTTATATATTTGCTTTGTTTTATAACTTCTCTGCAGGGACCATGCGAGTTTTGGGGAACAAGAAAGGAATCTTCACCCGCCAGCGCCAGCCCAAAGCAGCTGCGTTTGTTCTTAGAGACAGATACTGGAAGATTGCAAATGAATCAAGTTGTCTTCCTCCTGTAGTAACATCACATTCMYTTTTTCTAAAATGAAAACAAAGGGTTTAGTGGCTGGGTGAATTCGTTATTAAATTTCTGTTTAAATAAGTTTTATGCCTGACTCAAGTCTTGCAAGTCCCATGCGATTTCTAGTCCACCTGAAGTAGTGACTGTGATGCAAAGCAGATCAGAAACTTTTGTTTCCTCTGCTCAGCCACATCTGGAGGCTTCCTGTTGCCAGGTAGGAAAACAAATATTCAGTTTCAAGGAGCTGAAGTTAAGAGATGCTGACTGAGGTATCGGTTTATGGCAAAAAAATATTACAAATATTACATGATACACATCAATGCTGAACTTAAAAAAAAAGAAAAAAAAATCTAGGTTAATCTACATGAACAACACATCCCTCTAAAGCAAATGAGGTTTTCCAGTTAAACTCCCCTAACAGTTAACACTACTGAGATCACAGCAAATTGTCCACAGGATGGATGTGTGAGAAATCCTGAGCATTCCCAGCAGTCTGGAATGAACCACCCAACAGATTCCAACGCGGAGTTTGGAATTGCTATTCCAGCAGCAAGRTGGAGTATGTTCGAGAGGGAGGGACTCCATCAACTCCACTTTAAACCTCTTTATTTTACAGTACCAAAACTGCCACTATTATACAGGAGCTGTGTCTAATAATGCCCCTGTGCAAGGGCTTCCTTCATATGAAATRTCACCACAGTCAGAGCAGCCCAGAGGGGAATTTGGTTCTAAATCTTTCTGAGAGTGGCCTGGAGCCCTGTGGGGTAGGGCCAGCTGTAAATTCAGAGGTGATGGCCCTTTTGGGCTGCACATCAGCCTCAGGGACTGTTCTGGCTCACAGCAACACTCACAGAAGAGCTCAGAATATTTAAGTCTGCAAACTTGGCCCAAAAGCAGCAGARCAACATCATCAGAGGTTGCTCAGTGAATTTGGGAAGTTACAATTACAGAGTTTGGTTACTGGAATTCACAGATTCTGGGTGCAACTGTTGCCGTGACTCCCTGTTCTGCAGCTGGCTCTGGTGTGAGTGTCTCAGCAAAGTGACCAAATCTGATCATAAAAAGGAAATATTTGCTTTTATGCTGTGTGGTGGCCAAATTCTGTTCCCTGTAGAGGTGGGACATGAGGAACCAACACCACTTTCCACTTTGCCACGGCAAAATAAGGACACAGATGTTCACTGCAGACTTCACAATAATTTTCTGGTGTTTTTAAGGGAAAAGAAATAACGTATTACAGCATTTCTCACATGGTGCTAGGTCTAGATTTCCTCCCTAACTAAAACCCCAGAATATAAACTCTTATGCACAGTAAAAAGCACTTGTTCAAACAAACCATGGCATAAACAATTATAATATTTAAGCCCACTAGCAATGTTGGAAAGTCAGCTCAACTTCTCCATCTTTATAGACATCATTCTTTAAAAACTCATTTTCTTCCCCAATTTTCAAGACATGACCAAAATACAGATGAGGATTTGACATTGTTCACTCCTTACAAACCTGGGCTCAGCTCACTCCCCCGAAACTTTTTGAGGGAGCACAGATTTGAGGGTTAATTCCTGCTTGTTCTGAACAGTTCAGTGCAATCACAAACCCAACCCTGCMCCAAAGCAGCTCCCTCCCCAAATCCAGGGACACATCCAGCAGTTTCCAGGGATTTTGTGGTCTGTGGGATGGCTTTGAGCCGACCCACAGACCCAATAAAGCAGAAAGAAATCAAAATCACAATGTTGGGTTGTTTTTTTTTTTTTTTTTTGCTTAAAGAACTGTAAACAGTGAAAGCCTCAAGTCAATGCTGCTCAGCCTTTACACACAACGCTCAGCCAGACACAAAGCTGCGGGAATTCTACTGGGAAAACTGGGATCTGGGGGGGAATCAAGTGCTTTAACCGCTCTACTGCTAAACACACACACAATGTCTCGGAAAAAAAAAACAAAAACACACGACTTAGTACAATTTCTAGAAACAGAATTACAGTACTGACATTAAAAACAGTTTCTAAGGCTCAGACTGAGTCCAAAAAGGCCTCTGGTTCGGTTCATTCAAGCTCTTATGTTTGGACTGCATGAATGCAGCATAAGAATGATTGCAGCAAGACATCCACAGGTAATTTCTACATTTATTTTTGTTGGGTTTTTTGTTTTTTATATATATACCAAAAAAGTTATGTGCAACAAATAGAATTCGTACATATTTACATGTTTGTTTTTTTTTTAACCTGTTAGCAAAATTGTATCCTAAACCTCCAATAATCTCTCAGCCTATATTGAGAAAAGGAACATCTGCCCAATGACTGCATTTTAATTGGGTGTTTGATTGGGAGTTRAAAGCACTAGGAATAAATAATTGATGGAACATACTATACAGAACAAACACCTAATACTTAGGCCATGCTTAATACAGTTTTATGGGAACAGAATACTTCATCTTTTCTGGACCAGTTTCAACAACACTGGCAGAACCAAAGCCATCCAACCTCTGACTTTAGCCCACATCCAGTAGGAGCTGAGTGCTGCCTGAAGCACCTCACCAACCTCCTGGAACAGCTGAGAAACTCTGTACAGCAGCAAACACAAACTGCAGCATTCAGAAACCTCCTCACRGGAGATTTGTCGTCACTTCAGATCTCAAAGGTGGTCAGGAATGTTTCGTTGGCCTCAGCGTCACAAATATTTTACTTCCAAGAATATTAACTTCCTCCATGAGACTTGAATGCTTTGTTGGTCTTAAAGAGTAGCAAGTACCTTACAGTAAGAGGATTTCAGGAATGTTTAATTCCTAAGGAGGTTTTGGGAYGAGGTTCTTTTGAATTTCCAATCCACCCCTCGCCGTGGAACTTCCAACTCAGAATATTCCGTGATCCAAAAGGAATTCTGAGTGCCAAAGAGGGGCAGAAGAGCCCAAATTCAGAAGCACTGTTTGGATATTGTGAATTTTATCCCCTCCATTTTCCTGAGTGTTGAAACCACACAAGGATCTGTGTAACACCCCCCTGTTCTTACCAGCCCAAGCATTATTTACCTGCCTTTACCCAGCCTCCTGCATCCTTGAGATTTTTTAGGATTTGCCTTTGGATTTGTAAGGGTGAGACCAGACCCAAGCACGTGTTTTGGCTGGGGCAGGCAGAGGGGCACAGCTGCACAACGCACTGCTGCTTTCCATCACATCACAACCCATTTTAATGRAAGAAAGATGCTGTTCCTATCATTGGGAGCAACGAGGGTAGAGTCAAAACAACTGGAAGCAGAAAGGTCCAAATTTCTACTGCTAAGCTTATTCTGCCCCTTTATTCAGGCCAACTGCATTTTTGAAGCACAAGAAACAGAAGAAATCAGGGCCGTTTCTAGCAAATCACTTCCAGTAAAAAGTAACTGCGAGGAAAACATACAAGACAAGAGAGTTCACAATTAAGGATCAGATTCACAYAAAGTTTGTGCACAAAGTGTAGCTGCAAAATCTGCCAGAGCCCAAACTCCAGCTCCATTTGATCCCTATGTGCACACAAAGGACTGCAGACATCACTGCTGAAAATCTGGCCCTAAACATTTTTACTAAACAAACTGAATTAACAGACTATGCCCACACAAACAAGCACAAGACACAGTGAAATTAAGTCAACACCAATACTTTCAGCTGATGGGGCTTTTTTTTTTCCTCTTTTTTTTTTTTTTTTCCCCAGAAATCGAACCAAGTACTCATTGCTCAGACTTGTCTCCATGGCTGCTTGTTCTGAGATAGGAGCACTTTACGTGTTCACCTCTTCCTTGGATGAAAAAAAAGATGCCTTTAGTGGAGATCACAGGAATGCATCAAAATAAAAATCTGTACAACACATTAAACACTGATACTGCCTCAAGGCTTGGGAGAGAACAAAGCCAGGCCTTGAGGGACCAATTCAACAGAATTCATTCCCCTTCATATCAAAGTGGAAGGCATTTGAGAGACACAACTAAACATCAAGACAAGCTTTAACTGTACTCTGGTCAATACAAAACGTATTTAATGAATTGTTGGCTAAAACTGTCAGACGAGGGACAAGTCATTTAGTGTTACATGCAACAGATGTTACTCACACCACAGAACTCGATACAGAAAAGCAGTTTCCACCTCCATCCTTGGTACGAAACTAGAGAATTATTTGAATTGAAATATTGGTTTTGTGAATTCAATCTCAAAATGTGTTTTGCTCTATGGAAACACTGCTTGTTTCACTGTCAAGTTTATCCTTAGTGTTTAAAATCCACATACAATGGAAGTGTCTCTCTGACAATCATGTTTGAGAAAGAAACTGCTGAAAGTAGTTAAAATAGTTCTTTAAATAAAATGGGTATGCAGTTGGAATTCTTCATATTTYGATTTGACAAGGGCAAAAAGCAGCACAGCACCAATTACAGAAAGTAGCTGAACCCACACATTTCAGTGTCACACAGTCTGAAACACAAGTATTTCACTTTTCCAAATCACATCAACCTTTTAAATTAAACTGAAAACAAYACTGCTACCACTTCTCAGTCTAAAAACTAAAAACAGATCTCTTAATACTCTTCTATCCCCAGCAAGTTTGCTGGGAATTTTGTTTGTTCATTTTTAAAGCAAGGACACTTCTGCCTGCCAAGTTCAACACAAAGTATTTGGCTTAAGATTTGAAGACAGAAGGCACTTTTAACATTCAGCCTTAGAATACTGAGTGCAGAAACAACATGTACAATTTTGTTCCTTTGTTTAAATCTGCAGTTTAATATTTTTTTTCCCAATTAGTTCTTAGAAAGAGCAATGATAGCATTAGATCACATTTCATTTTCAGGARCACATTGACTTACTTATCCCATTAACCAGGTTGCCCTTCCAAGAGATCTTATGTGTGTGTGTCAGGCCTAAAGTTCATCTCCCAATATAGCACAAACCAAAGATCCTGACCAGATCAATCAAGGAACTGCTTTTTCAGTGCACTGCTTSGTTATCCTGCACAGTCAGTGGTTTCCACTGCAAATTGCAATTCTATACTGCAGCATTCATCGAACATCAAACATCAGTAACACTGKCTGGCTGACCACAGCGTCAAATGGAACAGCTCTGCATGGAAATGGAGTCCTTTCAAAGAACATTTCAATACACCAACCCCCAATCTGCAAAYCACATCCTGGTGGCAGCTTTGGATTGACCACACGAAGCTATTTTCGTTCTGTACAGAAATTAATGAGGTTGTTGTTTAATGAACATATTTCAGGTTTCAGCTTTAATTCCATTTTTGTTACTGGAGACAAAAAAAAAAATAAAAAGAAGAAAAAATGGAACCAACCCCAAGCATCATTCTTGTGAGAGCACAACAGTGAGAGCAGCAACTCCATGTTCTTTAGAGGTCACTTCTTCCATCGTGTCAGTCGAATGTGAGCTGAGCCCTCTGACAGCTCCTAACCAAACCCATGGGACAGTGAGTTCTCCAGGGACGAAACCAAGAGTTCTAATTTTATTTACAGTATAAGTCTTAGTCAAATCTAAGTCCATCAGCTAAAAANAAAAAAAAAAAAAAAAAAAAAAAAAAAAAAAAAAAAAAAAAAAAAAAAAAAAAAAAAAAAAAAAAGGAAGAAAAAAAAGTAATACACATACTGTAAACAATGGCAACATTAAATATGGTGATGCTAGTCTAGAATATTTCATGTCATGATCACATCTTGTTATACCTGAATTTATATACAGGATATTTTATAGCAAGTGTTACCCACTTCACAAGTGAGGGGGAAGAGAGAGAGTCTAGGTTTTGCTGTGGCTAAAACTCCTTCAAAGTAAAGTTAAAGCTTGTCTTTGATTGTTATAGAGCTTTCTTTCATAACCGCATTGAAACTGAAGATTAGCACAGAGAAATTATCTGGGGCCCCTTCAAATTTATAATTCCAAATTTCCTTTATGATTCTCAGGGTGGGGGGGTAGGGAAAAGTGTCTGATATGGAGAATAAAAAAATTACTGCAAAATAAACTTAATGGAAGTTGGGTCTTCAGACTGTCAGTCAAAAGTTCCAACAGGGGTTATTCCTGTTTGGGTTGGAGTTGCCTCTTCCAGGCCTCGTTCAAATAAACTAGTCGTTTGTAGTTGATGATAAAGAGAATGAAGTTCAGCAAATATGTGAGCACGCAGACAATGCAAAACTCCTTCAGCACGAAGTACAGAATGTATGCCAAGTACAGTGACCCTACTACAGACACTATGGAGGATGTCATGAGGATTAGAGCTGCTACTGCACTTGCTGTCATACCTGCAACAAGAGAGACACAGTTACTCCGGCTGCTCTCACCCCTCTGCCCACAGAGCTAAACTGAATTCAAACTCAGCTACTCGGCAAAATCCTGGTTAAAATACCACGGTTGAGAGTGGTTATTTGGAGAGGAGCACCTAAGGCTCTGTGTGACAGCTCTGTAATAAGGAGCATGTGGAGTATTAACCATCCGCATATTCCTGAGTTATAGGGAAATTAGTGGTCAAGTATTTCTATTGAGATTAATTATCAAGTTACTTCCATCAAGCTTTACAACAGACCACAGAGTTACCAAGAAATATATATAAATTACATTTCATGCACTTTTCTGCCCACTATCTCTATTACTCCTGCAAAACTTGCACATTCCATTTTTATTCCCCCTCTTTTCCAATGCCATATATATTGGGAGTGAAAATACCAGCTCAGAAACTGTCTTCACATTTGTATTATTAATAGCTATCAGGAGAAAATGCAATTACTCTTGTTATCAGTTGGGTTTTTAAGCCCTTTGGACAGATGTATCATTAGAGTGGTGCTAAAAAAAAAAAAGAGATATAAAAATCACAAGCATTTATCTTTTTTTTTGCAGATTGTGCAATGTAAATTCCTCTCCTCCTTCATCAGCACAGCCCTKCTTTATACTTTAGGTTTTGAAGTGAATGAATACTTACCAAGTAGCATTTGTAGTATATAAAACACGAGGCCAAAAACACTGTTTGACTGATTTATTGCACTGTCCTTTCCAAAGATGGAACCCAACAGACCGAATCCTCGACCCCATCTGTAAAACAGGGAAACTAATTAACTCTTATCTGGGCACCTATTGCTTYCCAGCAGCATTTGCAGTGCAGGGAAAAGAGAAAAGACACAAATATTCTGCCATGACCTGTGAGGAGCTCTGGAAAACCAAGCAGCTTGCAACAGGGGGAGCACTGGGCACAGCTTTAGCCCACACCTTGCTGGTTAAAGGTGTTGGACACAGCAGGAACTGCCGAGCTCACACAGCTACAGCTTCACTGAACGCCACCTCTGCTTGCCAGGGCTGGAGTTTGGAGCTGTTTTGTCAAATAAACACTTCYTTCCCCCACTGAGAGCTTCAGCAGCTCTCCCCAGCACGGTAAATTGGACACAAGGTCACTACTGAGCAGAGGGGACAAGTGGGAAGGATTTGCTGCAGCTCTGCCAGAGCTCACCTTGCTGGATCAGAGCAGGAGAATCAGGGCAGAAGTTTGCACCTCAGCTGCTCCTCAGTSTAACAGCTCAGGAGGAACCCAAATCTGTCAAACACACAAGCTGGGGATGGCACCATCACAAGATCCTCAGCCCTCATTTGCTGGAGGTATAGCACAGTGTGACACTTTGAACCGACACCTGAAATCCCTACAAAGTGACTTTCAGCTTTCTAGTTATAAGGCAAGAAAACAGCACAAGCCCTACAAAACTGCTGCTGCAGGAAGGAGGGTGAAAAGATTCAATCASCAAATGGATTTGTGCTAGAAACCATTAATTTGATGCCCTAAGGCAGATCATGCCATTATTTGTAAAAGTGAAGTGAGGACCCTATTTATTAGTGTCACTTGAATATATGAAGRGAATTTAACACTGCTCCAACAGGTAATTTAACTCACAAGAGCTTGTTGGGATATCTGCCAGCAGATTTTTGGAACATCAAGCTGAGCACTGCACAAATGTAAGGCTTAGTTCACATTACCAGGTTAATTGTCAGAGCAAGGTAAAAAACGGCATTCCTCATCCTGCTGCAGCAGAAAATTCCAAGGAAAGTGCAATTTTCAGGAATTTTCTTGTTCTAGAGGCAATGGCCCTGCTGAACCAAGACATAGCTCARGTTTGTCCCTGCACCCCTGATATAACTCCCCACACATCTGGGACCTGTGACAGGCCAGCACCATGTCACAAGCAGTTTCCTCACAGAAAGAGGTACCACGATAAGGACAATCTAATATCATCTCCAAAATACTTTCCAGTCTCACAGCCATCTGTGCAAAACTCATTTCAACTCATAATTTTAATTGCAGACTAAGTTTGAATTCACTATTAATACCCTTGTGCTCTTCTCCCCAAGCAACCCAGCAGAAATTTGGTCCCAATTCCTAGAAAGCAGATTTACTGTATAAACAGTCAAAAATGAAAGGTATTTTCAACTAGTTTGGTCTCAAACCTTTTAAAAGTGAAACTTTTGTGCCAATATTAAGTTTCAAGACAGGGTTTTTCCAGGGCTCAGCATCCCAGAGCTCCCAGACATGGAAYTGCAGGGGAGAGCAGTGCAGAACTKCYTGGCTCCCTGCTCTCATCCCAGGGCAAGTTTGGGGTTATGGAAATTCCAAAGAACCTCTGCTGTGATGAATCTTCTTCCTACACTTTGAATGCTATCAGGATTTTAAGTGAGAATTATTAATTTTTTAGCCTTCCTTCAATAAGATGGTCACAGCACATGTAACAATTACCTTGTGTTGTCCAACTTGTGTTGTCCATATTAAAGAGCCACTTAAATATATTAAAGGAATTATCATTTTGCATTTAACAGTCTATTTTTGTTTTTTTATTAATACATTTATAGATGCTTCAGCTTACCATCCACAGGTTCAATTTATTGTTCTGGTCTCCAAGTGAGAATTCTTTGCAGGGTGCCATTAAAGTGATTTGAATATAGGTTTTCCAATGAGGCTGCTCAACCCAACCCAAAATGTGAAAAGGTTCAGCATCAGCCTAATTCCAAATAAATTCAGAATGCTGAATCCCTCCCTACTCCTGCCCTAGCTGAGTGCTCTCACTGATGCTCAGCAGTTCCTGTGGTGTCTGAGTGCAAACTCAAGCTGCAAACATCAGAATTTTCATTCTGACCCCACATTTATTCTGCAGAAGAATAAAACGTTGAAGCATAATGAGTTCCAGCCCTTCCTGAGAGTCCTGGAGCRATCTGTTCAGAGCTGCAAGGTCAGAGCACAGGGAAAGCTTTTTCCACATGCAAGAGATCATTAATGTCTTGTTGGCCTTGTAGCAGCTTTGAGGACATCAAGTATTACATTTCAGTCCATGGTGTACAGGTCTAATCCCACATCTTATYCCACACACTTGGAGACAGCTAAGCAGCCTGGGGTTTAACACACAGCACTCTTCCCAGCCTTATAAGGTTTGGAGTGAGAGCAACTTTCTGCATCAAACTGAAAAGCAAAGTGTTTAAACTTTGTATATTTACTCCCTTCTCCATCAAATTTCCCTACTGAAAAGTCTAAATCATCTCCTAAATTTATTAAGGTCGTAAAACCCGTTAAAAATACACGATGAATCAAGAATTTATGCCAGCAAGTGGAGGCAGGTTAAMAACTGAGTAGATAATGTTCCTTTTCACACAAAACTCAGGTGTGAATTGCTTCATTTATGATAACTTTGAAAGTTATAACTTTAAAAAAATTACTGCGTTATTTAAAAAAATATGACAAACAAATAGCAAGAATAAAGTCCTAATAGCAGCATAAGCTCCAAAAAATAAAACTCTGAGGTCTTTCATGGAACCTGCCTTTTACAAAAAAACATAATTCAGAAAAAGTGTTATTAACTTGCACCAATTTTTTTAATACAAAATGCAAAGTAAAACGACCTGCAGTAATTACAGAGCTGCTTGCATAGCAAGATAAAAGCCCAATTTCACCAAATTTTTCCTGGTACTGACTGGTGGCTCTCATCCCTGAGGATCAGGAGTTCCGTGGTGAGATCCAGGTCACAGTCACTCGAGGTGACTCAGAGCGCTCTGACAAACACATGTGCCAAACCCATTCACCACACCCAAGTTTCAAYCCTATTAAAAAAGAAAAAACAATCTCAACTACAAGGAAGAAACCTTTAAGACGTCTCTGTRTATGTTTGTAACTCAGCTTCCCTCCCTATCTGCATGTACAGCTCTGAATGTTCTTTAAAATTTAAATAGTGGTTAAAAAATCCACGATAAAGCGTTTCATCTACTTTCCCAACATCTAAAATTGAACACTACCGTGATTTTCTGTCCAATGTGCACTATCTTTAACCAAAAGGAGGTTTTGGAAGTCATTATCCACCCTCTAAATAATGTCCCTTTTGGTTTGAGGTGTTTCACAAAGCTCAGCACTGTTGCAYTTYYRGAAGTTTAAAGCAGTATTTGTGTGCGATTGCTACTTTTTAACAGGAAAATTAAAAGAACTGAGGTCACTGTGATCCACAAGTGATATACCTCCCATAAAATCTTTAAAAATTTTAAATCATTGCCTCTTTTGCACAATTATGAACATCCTCTGTGTTCCAGAACAGTGTAAATGGGATATACTTGAAACATTTTAGCATAACTTAACAGAGAAAATGCTACAAGGGAACACAAGAGCCTCATTTAGTCCAAATGTTTTAGAGGACAAGCAARCAACTTTCCAGTTTAACAAGGTAAAAGCTAYGAGTTATCAGCGTTGGCTCAAAAAGCAGCACAATTCCAAGCCTGCCAAACACACCAAGTCAAACAAACAAAACAAAAAGTGTTTATTTAGCCAGCAGTTGGATTAGTGTCCCATGCAGTCAGTCCCTGTAAGAAATGCTGGAGTGTTTTTGGAGCCAAGCCCCACTTCTGACAGTTACCTGCAGATRTTTTTAACAGTTCTGTCACTGAGATCATTCCTCAAGATGCTTTCCTTGGCCTCCACTGTCATTAAGGATCACCATAAACCCCTGAACTGGGGTTTCACCTTCACCAAGACACTTGGCAGCCTACCCTGAACCTTCYTGCATATCCCAGATGCTTTCTGAGCACACATGTTTTAAAACCTCCACCACAACCCTGGTGATGAGCAGAATCACATTTCCTCAATTTCATGTGGTAACCCCTTAGTTCTCAYGCCCAGAACTGAACTGACTCCTATATATTCATTTTAAAAAGAGCCATTCTGGGTCAGGGTAGGTCCAGCCTCGAACAAAGCACACAATTCCCAGGTCACATTCCAGTGTCCTCAAGGACTGTTTGAAAATGCAATTAAATCCTTCAKAGACCACATTATTCAAAGGTATGATCCAAAATCTGGGGATGTTCYGCATTTGTGCAGCAGCAGCTTTGCCAACACAATTCCCTCTCTCAGTTGTTGGATTTGGTGCAGTGAAAAGTGAAAAAAAAATTCTCTATTCAGAAAACTACAAGTAAAGAACTCAGGTTTTGTTTTCTGAGTAGCAGTAAGTTACTTAAAGMCCCTCATTTCTGCATTATTTATCATCCAATGAGCATTATTTTGTTATCAACAGCAAGCACCCATTACCACTTTGYAACCCCAAGGAAACAATAAATATAATTTTATAAAGAAAAGGCTACAGTTGACAAGTGATGTGCACATTTCCTTCTGAGATAAGTTCTGGACCAGAGTGAAAGTTCTCAGAGGAAAGCAGAGCTGGCCTGTGCTCAGCCCCTGCCTTCAGTGAAAAGCTCATATAAAGGTCAAAGAATCTGGAGTGTGTTAAGAAACTTTGGYTGCAACTTCTTTCCAGCTTCACTAGAGGATTTTGGATTAAACCTAATTCGTGGTTTCAAGGCCACTCTAACAGTTTTAATAAATTAAGTAAAAGCCTTCAATTAGAAGCCACAAAAAAGGAGATTAAAAATTGCCATTTGTAAATTTGCCAGGAGCACTCAAAAATGTTGATACACTTAATTTCATGTTTAAATCTATTAACAGTACTTAGCATAACCAAATGAGATTTTGTTCTAKATATCCTCCAGCTCTACTTCAGAAACAGTCTGTAAAAAATCTCAGTGTCCAGATCAGCAAAATACCAAGCAGACAGTGGATAATTATTTTATAGCAGCCTATACTGGCTCTTCAAGCTACAAGCCAACAGCACTGATTCCTTCKACATAATCTTTTCTATTAAGGTACCATAAATGAAGCCCAAATYTGAATTATAGGCACTTGGTTAAATTTACTTTGCACCAGGCAAAATAATTCTTAGCCCTAGTGCAAATTCCAGTCAAGCTGGAAATGATAAATTTATGAAAAACAAAAATACACATTTGTGTAAGCACTGTAAGGAGAGAAAATAATAGATTCCCATAGCAAGGGCATTGCTGTGTTTTGTAAAAGATGTGTTTCTGTCACAAAGTATTGTATCAGTATTAAATCATCAATTTTCTACTAGAAAAATAGGGGAAAAAAAAACCAAACACTTGAGTTAGCAGCTTCTGCAGCTTTAAGAGCAACTTTAAAACTCCTGAAGTTGGTTTCTACCAGCATTCCTGAAACACCTTCCCTCTCCAGCACAAGGAACAAGCTSTGGAACCTCCCAGCTCACACCCTCAGCTCTGCTCCCTGCCTGCCCATGCTGTGCCAGTCCTGAGTCCTGTTTGCACGGTGCCAGCCCCGCTGGGGACAAGGGACAGAGAACCATGGCTCAAAGGGCAGGGCTTCCCTTCAGCACAGGAATGACTGTGAGTCTCTCTCCCTTGCCCTGTGGCACTGAATTTGCTCCAATTTCTCCCTCCTTTCCAAGCATCCCTCAGAACAAAATCAGTGAATCCAGAATCAGTGAAAAAGCCCTGTTACACTGCTGACTAACACTTTGCATSAGATACAGATTTTGCAGCTGAAAACCTCAACCATATCTGAATATTTGCTTGCAGGTACARCACTAAAAAACATCCTGGGGATATCAGGAATTTGTTATTGTTAACATGAATGATAAATGCTGCATGATGTTCTTTACCTAGAATTAAGCAAATTTGACAGACAYCAAGTTTACAGCAACTGCCCCACAAGAGAGCTCAGTGGGAACCTGTTTAAACACCAGGTTAGGGRGGAGGTCTGGGAAGTTTTTTCTCCCATGTCCCATTTCCTTGAACAACRGGGTTGTTCTTGTCACCTTGATCTTTGTAAAGATGCACCAGAACAGTTCTGGCAARGTGTGCCTTGCTGAGAAACCAGAAYGGGCCAGTTTTACCAGCAGTTCTTACAGAAATTCACACCCAGACTGCAGAGGAACGAGCMCTACAAGCTCTCTCACACAGCTCTGAAAGCAAAGCAACCAAATACAACACAACAGGTGTAAACCCACCGTTTAAAGGGATTTATGAATGTGAGCAGRACTGTACAATAATGCTAAACTTGTCACAGGCCACCCTTTCAGTCCTGTCCACAACACACACCAAATTGAACATTTTCACCAACTACCAGGAGAGTATTTTGGTGCATCCACTAGAAGTCGTAAGGTGGACAGGCAGTTTGGTCTAGAGGAAGGTGTCCCTGGCCATGATGAACAAGATGAACTTGAAGGTCCCTTCCAACCCAAACATTCCATGATGAGACTTTTCCAGAACATCTCAGAGCACCTCAAACACAATTCAACACCTTGTCCATGAGCATAAAGTTCAGAACAGGGGATACCTAAAATATCAATTACACCCAGATGGACTCTCAAAATGCTATTCTGACTCTAAAACCCCTTCAGTAACCAGCTAAAGATCAATATTGACTATTGCCAAACCTGTTCACTGACGCAGCTGCAAATATTGCTAAAGATATACGAGACATGTGCCCTTTGCTCGTTTGTGCTGCTGTCTTGAGGCTCTGTTACAGTGGGTACAACATTAATTAATGCATACCAGGCTACAAAAGCCCTTTAAAAACGCTAATCCGCCCTGCAGAAACCTCCAATTCATCAAGACAGAAAGCAGAAATGTATTAGRAGACCCCAAAATCTCTCAGGGCATGGAAAAGACCAAAGCCAAAGGCTCTGGGTCTCTGCATTACCACTTAAAGGTCACATTTTATTTCAAGCTGTAGCATGATCTGTATGACTTGAAATGAGTTTTATTACTTTAATTACTTCTATGAAACTACACCAAGACCAAAAGTATTTTTCAGGAACTGCTATTAGCCAGTTTCATTATAAATAAAGCCATTTTTACCAATTAATTATTCTCAAATATAAGACAGCAATCCATTTAAAATAAATACAGCAATTACCAATGGAAATATTAGGTGTTGCCCTTATTAGACACTCCTTACTTTTTATTTTTAAACTATTTCATGAACTTTCCCCTTGATAAAARCTTGAAATATGCTGACCATTCATGTTTTGGGTAAGGGATACTGGGAAGGTATCTCTCCAACATAATCTTCTGCATGAGTCAGGCTCTGATRGGAGATTTTTCTGTGCTCCTCCCTCTGCATGCTGGCAGTYTTTACATTTCTGTTCTTGTTGTGTGCCAATGCCAGATCTGGCTTAAAAGCAAGACTTGGAAATAKCAACAGCTGGTGAAGAAAAAACTCCACCCAAAATACCAAAAAGTCAACTGAGGAAAGAATAAACTAATTTATTCTAATTATTCTATGCTTTTGAAATTAATCCTAACAGCATTAAATGGTTTTTAAAGTTCAGCCCACTCTTGGAGTCGAAACTGGAGATGTGAAGATAGTAACATTCCAAGTTCCATCAGCCAAACCAGCTTAAATAAAAAATCACACAACCAAAAGAACCATTTAAAAGCCAAACTAGAAACAGAAGTTTCTCACCCACTCTGCAGCATTAACGCTGATAATTAGCTGATCAATTAATTTCTGATTGACAGTGTAACAGCTTAATGAGAAAAGAAATGTGAAAGTTAAATCTACACGTGAAAAAGCTAGAACATGAGATTTGAAACTGTACTACCCAAATGAAATCTAAATCGTGGTTAAAAGTTGCTTTTAGAAATCAAGTTTCTGAGAAATCTTGGTGCTGCAAGAACAAAGAATATTCCATAGGAGAAAGTGAGTGAGAATGATGGATGGGGAGCTGTGGCAACCGGGAAAATTAGATTAATTTCTTTCCAAGTTTAATGCCTTGCCCTGCTGCCTTACTTTCAAAGCAAAACTCCCCCTCTGTGTCCTGCACAGCCTGGAAAGCAAATTCTTCTCCAAATATGGTTTCACTGAACAGAACTTGCACGTTCCTTTTCCACAAACTCCTTTTACCACCTGCTCCAACGATCACGAGCTCTCCTGGCATTTGCAGTGCTTCACTCCAGGCATGATTCTCCTAGCAACTGCTGGGAGATTTTAGTGCATTTTATCCCTGACTCCATACATTATCATATAGAATTCCTACAGTAAAGGATTTCCAGGTCTTACTCAACGTGTCAGCTGCAGCATCGCTAATGAACACTGTAATTACCAAGCTTGATTCCATAATTAGAAATAATTCCAATTATATCTTTAGGTAATTTCCTTCTCCCAAGCGTTCAGTAAACACGCATCAAAACTGTGACATCAAATTCCMTGCCATAACAGCAGCATTTGCTGCAGCAACAAAAAGCTGTTGAAGGACCAATTCTACACAAGAACAGGCTATTTAATGCTTARATCTCTTTATTCTTATTAYAGGTTTACCCCTATAGGTACGATTAAAGTTAAACTACTGASAAGACTCACGTGGTTTAATCTCAGCAGCCTATGMATAATTTAATTTATATAATTTTAATTTATCTGGTGAGTTACTCAAGTCTCCTCCCTAGTTAGATCCAAACTTCTCATTTCAGGAGACTTTCCAAGCAGAGACATCAACAAGCACCTTCACAAACTAAAGATGACCTGAGGCAGACACAAAAGCACAGTTAAAGCCTTCACTCAATCACAATATCAGGTGTCCAGAGATACAGATCTCTGTCACACAATCCCATTTCTGTCACCACAGAAGAGGTTTTAAGAATAAGAGTTCCCCATATGTTCTGCTTCAACAATTTCACAGCTTCCAGCTCTACAGATTATGGGTACACTCTCCCAAACTGGCTTGTTATGATGATACAGCAAATACCTCTRTAAAAACTTTGACWGCTTTTGCACAGGTTACRCTGAGAGGGGAAAAAAGTAAATCTCAAATATTCATTTAGCTGAAGGCACAAACATGTTAATAACGAAATTCTCATTTAAGGAAAGAGGAAGGATTTAATACAYAGATTTGCTCAAGAACCAAATTTATACAYTGGCTCTSYGAACAGCAAGTAAGAGCCATTGGYCTTYAGAAAACAACTACTAAACCGGCTGGACCTCTGCAAAGTAAGTCAGAATTTGGACTGGGCTTTTGCTGCAGAGGCATWCAARTCTCTCTTGAATGAAGCACTTCCTCAGTATCACAAAAGCATCTCCTGTGCTGCCAGAGACATCCCAATGAAAATGCAATACAGATACTGCAATTAAAACTAACAAAGCAAACCACCCGCAACTGCATTTGTTTACGTTCTCCTTAACCACTACTCACAGTTACAGCACCTCACTGTAACGAGCCTTTACCACTAAAACGCCTGTCACTCCACCTAATTGCCATTGATTACAACACAGCAATTGCGGGTGCCTCACCCTCCAGTCCGTGGTGATCCCGAAAAAAATCCCGCTCCCACAGCGGGCCTCCAGCGATGGGGCTGCCCCAAACCGGGRGCGCTGACCCCCTCCCCGGGCTGCCCCGGCCCCTCCGTGCCCTCGCCCGGCCCGCAGCCCCTCCGAGCACACGGTCGACCCCCCAGCACCCCCGAGGCACCGAAGGCACCGTTCCGGGACCCGTCCCCGCCGCTCCCACACCCCTCAGCCCCTTCCCCCCGCGGGGGCGGCGGCGGGTCCCACCCGCGCCTCACCTGGAGGTGATGGCGGCGGAGCAGCGCACCCGCTCGCTGAGGTCGCACAGGGCCTGGTAGTGGCTGTCGTGGCCCTTCTCGCGCTCCAGGTGGCAGGCGTACAGGGAGAGCAGGATGCCGGCGGCGCACACGGCGGACCGCGCCACCCGCTCCCAGCGCGGCACCGACACCCGCAGCAGGACGGGCGCCGCCATCTTGCCCCGTCCCTCCGCCTCAGCCCGCGACGCGCGCCCGGCGCCGGCCCGCCCCGCGCACGCGCGCGCGATGCTCATTGGCCCGCCGCGCACGCGCGCGC